CAGATTTGATAACATGAACCGTGCCGTTAAATATTTAACGCGTTAAATCTCTGAACTCAATTAAGAAGTTTCATATACAGCAATATTTAATTTTATTTATTCTAATCTTTAGGGACTCTGGTTAAAATCCTTAATCTGAAAGATGGCCAAAACCCAACCGGTTAATATCTAACATAAGTGCCCCTAACTAATACAGTGGGCATAGAAGTTCGAGAATATCACACGATTTCGTCGCTCGAATAAAGAAACAGTGTAAATGCCACATACACTATTATTCGATAATTGCACCATTGGATAGACATTCCTTTAATCTATTAGAAAAATCTTTAGTTTTCTTAAATATCTCTTTGGCTCACTAATTTATTACCGAAAAACGAAATTGTATTTGTATGGTTTGTAATGGTTTATAAAAACTTCCAATTCGTTTTTCTCAAAACTATACTTTTCATGTTACACTATTTCATTATTCCAGCGACGATTTGTACATTTGTGCAGAATTGTCAGTTACAGCGTGACGATGTTTGGAAAGTCGTTATTGAGCTGAACTCATTCTCGATAAAAAGTTTTTAGATAACTCCTCTCCAAGGCGAACTTATATAAGATGGTGTGGTTTCATCAGCTGTGAGTAGCGTATGATTGTCAAAATTTTGTATTTCGCTAGTGAGTGAGTTAAAACGTGAGAGTGTTTGTATTTTCTGTCGCTCTTTTTTATTTGGGGAAGAATAGCTAAAATTTGACGAGGAACCGCTAAAGACAAAAACAAAATACAAGTATTTGTTGTATTTGTTGAATCGATACGACCTTATATGAATTCGCCTTGCACCACTCTGTGGCTTCCAAATGTACAAATGTACAAATCATGTGATCCCTGATTTATTCCTAGAAAAGAGATGAAGAAGGAAGAGAACGACACTAGCATACAATAACAGGACATCGCACACAGAGGAATCTTCGCTGGAATTATAGAACAAAAATCAAAATTTTTTTACTGGAATCATGAAAAGATGTAAATATTTTTAAATACATATATTACTGTTTATATCTATACTTACTTTTCTACTACCATTATTCAAAATTCTTGAGACGTAAAAGCCTAGAAGTATTGGTTCTTCTGCTCAATTTTTCGAACTCGTAATGCCATGCGATTTTATTTTGGCGACATGTAATAGCAAAAATCGCTTAGCTCTTGAAATAAATAAAGTTAAAATGCTGAAATGAGTTTAATATATAGTACTTATCTGTAGATTTTTGAATCCGCTTATGCAAAACTCATTTCATTTCCATGCACATATAAGTGGCCGTAGAACAATTTTATTGCATTTCGTTGAGAACTCTTCACGAACAGCCTTCTTTTTTTATTACGAAATGTCTGCACCAGTAATCAAATCGCAATTCTAACATCCTTTAGTATTGCAAAACGCTCGCGAAATCAGTCAATCACTTGGTCAACCAGCGCAAAAGTAACTTGGGTGAAACTTTGAAATTTCCAAGTAAGTATTTAAGTAATTGAAAATGCTGCCAAATGTCTTTGGCATTCTCGCACGTATTCCAACTCGCAGTTCGAGTGCAGTTTTTTATTACTTTGACTGCTTCTTTGGAATTGCGTGAATGGAATTCCCATGAAAAGGTAACTCCTGAACAAGCAACTTTGTTGCACTTTTTATTTGAGCACGCAACTTCTTAAGCGAACTGGTAATAATGTGAGTTAGTCGTCTTTTTTAATGGTTCTTTTTGCAAACAAATTAAGTTTAAGTAAGTCATTTTCTTTTAATATTTTTAATCGACNTATGTATGTTACCGCATAACTTTGGACCACGTTAACCGATTTCTATAATTATTATTTTTTAAAGGAAAAAGGTGTTACCGCACCGGAACATGAAGAAATTTACGATAATCTTAAATTTTTATATGCGAATTGAAGTCGGTTTTGTGTTTTGCCTAAAAATTACTTGTTTTAATTAACCGACACTAGTTTTAATTTAGCGAAACTATAAAAATAATACCAATTTCCTCAAAAAATTCATGGATATGAAATCTTTTGAGAAGGGGACATTTTGCGTACTGGCATATTGTTGCCGCCACAAGGCAGTTGCACTGCCAAGTGCGGTTTTTATACATTCGCTAATAATACGTATTACGTATATTTATATGTGTAAATGTCAATAAAGAGCACTGGATCACAAATTTTAATTTGGTTTTTATTCTCCGAAATTCGGGTTAATTTTTTGTCCAAGATTTTTTGTATGAAATATTAGCAGTAAAGCGTGTTACTTAGGTGTACGCGGCGTATGAGTAACATTCTTTCGTGCTCAATTTTCATACAAAAAATCTTTGCGCATTTTTATTTCACCACTCATCATTTCGTATTTATCCATCGATTTTCTTCATCAGTAACTTAATATTTTATTTTTTTTTTAACAGGACACGCTTTAGTGCAAATGCAAAAATTTGGCACTGAACCTGTTATTTTTTTAATTTTTCTTCTGTTAAAGTTTGATTTTTTTTTTAATTTTTTCATTAAAAAATAAAAACAGCTGGAATGATTAATTAATTTGTCTTAAACTATAAGCCCTATCGGAAAGTGATGTATATACGGTTATAGAGCGTTTCATTGGCTTTCATTTGCCGTATTTTACATTAAGATTTTTAAATTTATTTGCCAGATATAGGCGATTAAAAGGAACTAATTTTTGCTTTAAGCTGAATAACGGCAAATTGCAAATATCTCGAAAACGTATCCACAGAAAAAAGGATTAACGTGATTTTTGGAATCAACGAGCAATTCTACATAGGGATTGGATAGTGGCATCCATAGAACAGTTTTGCTGTAAACCAGTGTAGTTATTCAAAACAAAACTAACGGTTTAAATTACCACTTTACTTGCTAAAATCGAGAAAATCAGGAAACTTCTAGTGTAACTTGCACAAAATCTATTTACTTCTAATTATGTATTAAGTAACTTCCTGGGTATTAAACAAATGTGCCAGTTACCGAATGCGAGAAAAAAGACTGCTTACAACTGTAACTGAATTTCGCGTATTTAAAAAAAAAAAAATCGGGAATTTTCTTGTGATAGTCGTTGAGCGGTACATGTTTTACATTTATAGGCTGGTATGCAGCTCTCAAGAAAACGGTCAAGAAAAAAATTGCCATTATTTCGTGTGTGTGCCCAAGGAATTTTGACAACTGATACTTCACCAGCCTTTTGCCTCGCTCCTCAAGGAATAATGGAACGGGCATATATTTCTATTGCAAGCATGGGTTGCCTTGTGCTCTTTTTTCACAAAAAAAACTTTAGAAAACCATAGTAGAAAGCGTAGAAAATTTCTCAAGAACTGCGTACTGACTCAAGAAAATTTTAGACAAGAAAATTTCTTAGCCATTTCTTGTACGTCATTTTATATGGATTATGGTTATAAAATATACTTCCACAATTCCTCGGAAGAAGAATCCTAGGTGTGCTTCTTATTATTGCTGAAAAATCTTCTTGAGAAAACGCGTGATTAGTGCGTAATTTTTTGTTTAATATTGGGATTTTCGTTGAGCACTACCAATCAAGGGCAAAAAAATTCATAAGCCCTAGTGTAATCAGTGTTGCCGCGACGTAATGAAAAAATGTATCGTAAAGGAAATAAAAAATGGATCAAATGTATCACAAACTTTTTATTTTAGTATCAAAATATCATGTTAGAAAAAACTTAAAAAATGCTATTTGGTTTCATGCCTTTACTTTTTATTTTTGTCAATAAACGAAAAATCATGTAATTCCCATTCATACACATACATACGTATGTATGTGTGAAAGATATTTTACACATTGTGACGATCTATCGGCAACACTGGTGTTCGCTATTTCCGTTCAAGTGAAAAGTTTTAATAAGTCAGGTATAAAAATTAAATATTTAGTATGTCTTTTAATAAGTATACAAAGGCTTTTTAAGTAGCAATTTCTATTACCAAATATAATTCAATATTTGTGTTGTGAAAAGTGTATACATACATTGAAGTGCTTGCAAGTCATTGTAGTGCCATTTTAGAAGATGGTGGTGCAGCTTATAAAGAAAAGGTAATAGCGCATCAAAATAAGTAAAAACGAATTCCAGCAAATTGGCTGCATTTAAGAGTATTTATTTGTATGTATGTACATTAGGGCGGGTCAATTTGCATGAGAGATTTTCTCGACTACCTATGTATAGCCTACAGCAAAGAAGGATTCTACGTGTAATTCTAAGCAAATTTGCCGTTAGAAACCATGGGTATAAAATCAATTCGGAGTTTGTCAAATCGCAGAAATAGGTTTTTTTGTTTTTTAGCATTTTGCTGTAGTGTAGTAAAGAAGTGCTTAAATTTTGCATAAAAACATGCGCTTACCTTTTTCATAAAGCTCCCATCAGAAGGCGCGACAATGAAGACTTTCCCATTTTCCTTGCAACCTATTTTCTCCAAATTGATTTTAGACCCATGGTTTCTTCGACTAATTTGCTTAGAATTACACGTAAAATCCGTCGGTGCCATATGCGCATTACAACAAAAAAAAAACTGGCCCGCCCTAATGTAAATCATTTAATTTTTTAAATTATGAAATATTTACAAGTAATATTTCATTATTGTTAAGCGACTTCCAAAAAAGGAGAAGGTTATCAATTCGTCGGAATATTTTTTATTTTTTATTTTTATTTTTTTAATGTATGTTACCGCATAACTTTGGACCACCGTAACCGATTTCGGTAATTATTTTTTTATCAGAAAGGTAGTGTCTCTCATGAAAAAAATTAACGGTACTCCTAAATTTTTATATGAGAATTGAAGTCGCTTGTGTTTTTTGCTTAAAAATTATTTGTTCTGCAACAACTCAACCACAAATTAATTTTTAGTTATTTTTTTTTACTTTTTATTCCACATTTCATTTGGTTGACTTGAACGCATGGATGTACAGTGCTTTCAAATGGATATCCTCGCTAATCAATAATAACTGGCAGTTTTGGCGGTAACCTACGATCTAATTCTTTAAATTCTTGCCTACGCCCATTTTTTGAATAAAGGTGTAAAGTGTGAACGAGAACTTGCCGATCTGAAAAATATTTAGATAGAACAAAATTAAAATTGAAAATATATCTACGTACATTAGGGTGCATCACACTCTATAAAAAAATTTGGTGCCAAATTTCCATTGGCAGTATAAAACTTATTCCACCAAAATATTTTGGAAAAATATTAAGATTTACGTCGACTTGAAAATAACTCCAAAAATCGATTTTTTTTATAAATATAAGTAGTTTAAAAAGCAAATCACCTCAGTTGATAAAATGGAAAGAATTGAAATTGTTGGTGGCCGGAAAAAAACCAAGAACAACAGTACTTAAAAACTAGAATCCTGACTCTAGTTTTTAAGTACTGTTGTTCTTGGTTTTTTTCCGGCCACCAACAATTTCAAAGAGGAAAGGGACATATAGATGGGTTGGGAATTCAATGCTGCTCTGCAAACGTACCAGACTCCTTTAGGAATCTCAGAAGTTTGTTAATGGAGAGCGAATGTATCAGGTCCATTCTCAATAAATCCAGGCTGAAAATGTACCATCTAAGTCTGGCCAAGCCCGGTCAGCGGCAGAGAAAATGTTATGTACTATCTTCATCCTCCAAATAAGATTTGTGTTTAATATATTTTTATTTGATGTGCCCGATCATTCGCGCTAAGCTTGACCCTAAATTTGGCTTCGGTCCAATTGGCTGCTATAGAGAATTCATCAGCCCATTCGTTGCCTTCCACCTCAGCTCATTCCACCTTGTAACGGAGTTCAGCCTCAATTTACATTCCTGGACTATTTTTTGAGTGAAACTTTCGACAATTGCTGCAGTCATGGCGTAATGCCTATACTCACTCTCCTTTGTAAACCGTAGTTCTGCGCCGCCATACTATAGCAGAGTACGTGACGATTGGTCTGACTAGAAAACCTTAGCCGGTTTTAGACCTCGGGTATTACTAAAGGTTCTCCGGCCACTGTTCAAAAACTTTGAGCGCTCGATTTACCTTCAGCTTGACCTGAGTTTCCCATCAACATCGGATCTAGAGTTAAGCTTAACTGATAGATGAGCTTAAGTATATATAAAAGGTCGGCATACAAATTATACAAAGTTTTATCAACGGAATAAATAAATAGATTTTTGGAGGTAAGTATTTGCAAAACCGCAACTTTTTTTGGTGGGGCACCGTATATACAAGTAATTGTAGGAAAATTGTAAGTAATCGACAAAAAAACAAAATTTCACCGGGACCATGGTTATAGGTTAAGAAGCTCTTAAAATTGGTTACCCATGACGGTCAATGAAGCATAGCAGCCCCAAGATGGTACGGTGAAAATCGAGATGACATTTGTGTAAAAAAAAATTAAGTTTTGAACTTATATGAGGGACATTAATCTTAATCGATCGTCTTAAAATTTTTCAATGTTGTTCTCGGTATAATTTTTGTTTTTCTACACAGCTTCTTTAGTAATCACCTCCTCAAACTTACCGACACACTTGTAGCTAAATTTATTGGCACTAATTTCATTGCGAATAATGGCATTTCATCCTGCGACCGTTGCAAAAAGTATATAAGCAACTTGTTAAAACGTTTACCCTGCGTCATCCAATTGTAATGGAAAATAGACAAGGTTAGCTGCTCACAATCCGACTGTAAATGTGTAGCATAGTAGCACGCCGGTGATGTTTGCAATACAACACAAAACAAATAGGTCACAGAGGCTATTCTCGAAGTGGCATCAGCGAAAATAAATATGTTTATCATGGTTGTGCCCAAAATAGCGGCAGCGATAAAGAACTGTACAAACATAGTGACAGATATAACGGGTTCTACGATGCTCACCAATCTGCAGTGACAGGGATAACACAATTCGTAAATTCTTAATTGATTGAGTTTTCAAAAAACATACCTTAAAATTTCCTGATGCGTAATAATGCATTCCTGCAGCTCATGATAGGTCGCATCCTTTCCTTTGTGTGCCATTGTCCCCAAGCGTCTTACACGACTCGCCAGCAACTGTACTTGAGTGCGTATTATGTAAATATATACAGCTGGATATGAGTCATTGACAATTTGATGGAAAAGTATGTAGAAGAGCATTAAGGTATCGAAGCTAACTTGCAACCAATATTCCCACATTGACCTATGCCAATCTACGTAAGGTATCCATAGCGTAAGTGGTGCATGTCCACCCAGCAGTGCTGACATGAGTGTTAGCGCCGCATACATCATATACGATACAATGAAACCGAATACAATGCGATTGCCAGTGATTGCGCTGCTGCGTATCTTAGCCATGTCCTCCGGTGCGGTATAGCGTGCATCCAACCTCATCAGCAATGGTTCAATGCTGCGTAATCGATCCAAAGACAATGCCAAAGTGATGCTCTTAACTGGCACACCAATCACATTGAGCGCCGCTTGTACACAATTTAGGATCTCCATTATCGTTAGTATATTCCTATCACGTATCCAGCCAACATTAAAGATAAGCGGTGAAAGTAAAACGATGAATAGCGTTATTATGCTGCTATAGAAGAAGTAAACGAAACGACATTGCGCTGGTGGATTAAAGCCCACAAATCGAAATGTATTGAATAAGTAAATGACGGCATCGCGAGAGGCTAACAAGGCGCGTTCACGTCCTTTTATCAAATCGAACATTTTTGAAGTGATGCCTTAGAGTTGAGCTCATTCATATTTATAACATGTCTATATGTATGAATGTGTTTAACATAACTTGTTGGCATGTGCTACTTAGTTGAATTGAACACGTGCTTTTAAAAATTTAATAGCTTCAACTAAATTTATTATTCAAAACTTAGTAGACTCTTAGTTCAAATTGTAATCAATGAAAAAAATGTTTGCTCGTACCTAATCGTTTTAAACTAATACAAATGTAGATAGATATGTATTTGACACCTGACGGCAGTTTTTTGGTCTCATGCGCGGAAAGTAAGTGTGTATATTACTATGTACATAGTTACAAACAAACTGGCACGCTATTTCAAAATTACATAAGATAACTGAGCTAGATTGAGGTGGTGACCACACCAGCTTACCTAGGCTTATATTTTTGAACCCATTTTGAGCTATTCTTAACCTATAAAATTTGTTAATTTACTTATATAGCTGTAGTTGTCTCTTCTGTCCAGCATGTAGATACCCTTCGACCGTTTCTTGTTCTATTCTGGCCACATATGTATGCTTTGCCTTGCTGCAAGCGATGAGTCTGGGCTCTTTAGCTAGTTTAAGAGATATATATGTAGATCCCTAAGAATGTGTTTACATCATGTATGTAGACAGCGACGTACCTAGAGACGAAAGTAGAACGGATAAGCTCTCTATGAACTGATAAGAAAATAATGCCTCGGGAAATATGCATCACCAGCACAAAATAAAATCACTCGAATCGTAGGAAGTGTACTAGCGAAGCATACCTCAGATTCGGATTCTGTGGGTCGAAATGCATGTCGGTAGCTGGGTCTGGTTAAAAGCACACACCATTTCTTTTTGTGTGCCGGTGTATTTAATCGTTTCGCCGGAGATTTAACGTTTCGCATATATTTTATATCGTGAAAATATGTTTCGCCGACTGCTATAACATCGATAAAAAAAAAATATTTTATCACCCTAATATACATATATACGTACATACAAATTTTCATAAAAATGCATTAAAAGTTTGTCGAAGCTTCGATAACAAATGCAATTAAATTTTTTTGAAGCCATTGTTACCGTTCACGTATGGAAACAATTTTAGAGAAAATAAATTATAACCTAATATTTATGCATACATACATTCAATATTTTTACCTACAAACACACAGACAATTAATTTTTAATCATTAAATTTCCCAATAAAAAAAAAAAAAATCTGAAAAACAAATGAACAAAATAGTTAAATCATTTTGGTGTGTATGTTTACAAATTGATATTTTTGTTCAAACAAATCTGTAAAAATATCGTAAAAAACAGATGAGCGCAAATGGGATTCAAATAAATTTCTCACGTAAAAAAAACGATTCAACTAGTTAGAATAACTTACAGTAATTTATTCCATAATCCGCTTTTAATATACTTACATAAAATTTTATTATTTTTGAGTAAAAAATATTGCAGTTAGGCAAAACAACTATAATATATATTGCATATAAACATGTGGTGGAAAAATTGGCCAAAAACATATCCACATAAAATATGTCCATATATGTATATGTATGTATGTATGTATACAATTTTTAATACAATATTTAATACTATTGGGGTATAAAAATTTGGCATAGTTGGCAGCTACATACATGCATACATACATACATAGAAACGTCTGCACCACTTCAGCCACGAAGCCGCGAAAAAGGCTTTTATGTAGTTTAAATCCCAATATGCATGCAAAAAAAAAATTTATATAAAAAAAAAATTAAATACAAATATCAGAATTAAGCGTAATCGGGTCAAAGTTCTGCTCAATCGGATTTCGTAAAAAATTCTGCACATACATACTTACATACATACATATATACACTTGTATAATATCTATATATACATATGTATGAATGTTGATACAATTTTTTTTTAATTTTGAGTAACTCATTGACGAATTTATGTAGGTCATACTTGTGCATGTACTTAAACTAGTGTATGGGTGATTCTCTCCAAATTGTATTTTTTTGAAATTTAAAATTTTTTATATTTGAATCCATGAAACAAAAATATAAGGTAGCTGCATTTAATTACATTCGTTATAGTTGTACATCATTTGACTTTAAACGAAATTATGACATTTCATCAACTTCATGCTACCAGACTGATACGTTTATCTGCTTTGAAAAAGTACTCCAAAATTTATGAAAGCTAATACAAAACACAAAAATTTTTATTAACAATAAAAAGACAAATATTTAATTCGTTTTAGGCAAACTTTTTCCAGTTAATTTCCGTGTTGATCCGGATCAACGCAGCCGTCTCCGTTTATGCTTTTAGAGAGCCGAGTGGCGAATAAATTAGCCGCCCGTTGTGATTGCAGCTTCTCGACATTAACGCACATTTTTTGCTACACCTTGCCGCAGACCGGAATGTCTCGAACGTCGTCGTAGTCGGTCAGCCTCAGTTCGTTTTGGAATGTGTAGTTATCAAGGCTGCATTTTGCGACAGAGGGACGACAGGATATCTTCCTTGCTTATCGCGTCGCATCGCTCGTAGGAACACTCTATATTCTCAGAAAAGGATCTTTTATACGCTTTGTCCTTGATTTCTGTAGATG